GCTCACAAAAACGTCATCAAGTCACAGGGCTGTCCAGCACACTGTTATACAAGAAGCGTGATATTTCCATTAGCGTAACTGCTTCCCCCCTTTTGTATTGATAACTTACGGTAAGTTGGGCTTTTTAGAGAGGCGGGTTGTTCTAATAACTGAAGATCATATCGACTGGACAAATGTACGGTGTAAAGGCTATGGGCCACAGGGTAGGCCCCGCTTAGTGAGAATCCAAGACAATCACAGCCGACCACTTATAGCATGGCCGTTCGAGCCCAACCACGAGGACTCTAGAGTGACTTTGGATAAAATTCGGTAAATGCTCCATGAATAGATCTGTAGAACTGTTCCTTTGTTTCCATAACGGACTGTCTAAAACTACCGTCACCTGTTATCGTGGTAGGAGTGATGGCAAGCCATAGACCAGCAAATGAGTTGCAAAACCGCAAGAGGCCTCACGGGGATTACCTAAGAAAACTCTGCAACGTGGCTCTAATGAATCTGCAAGGCTTCTTCATTTAGCCAGTATCAAGCTTCCTGTTAGCAAGCATGGGCACCCAATTGGAACCCGTACCCTTTTGCATCATCTGTTAAGACCCGAAAATGGAAACCGTACCCGTGAGGCGTACTTAGCATGTTCTGCTCTTCACAAATAGTGACAGCTCGTATACAGATGGCATAAACGAGAGTTCTCTATATTCTTGGAGCGTCTACGGTTAAAGCCTCGAACACATCAGAAGCAGCCAAGCTCATCGCCGTTCATCCAGACTCTTTTTGGATCAAAATAGAGGTGCTTGATCGACTTAATGTGTTTTGGTGTCGGTGTAATATTGAACTGTTCACTCAAAAAGTTGCCGAGCATCTGAATTCAGGGATCTTAAGTAGTTTGCAGTTCATGAAAACCACCGTACTCCGACAAGGAAACAGCAGATCCGGAATATTCTTAACGACTTAGGAATGCGCAGTAATTCGGTTCATTAAGGAACACCGCAAAACCGGCTCATGAACAGTGCATGCGTGTTGTGCAGTTCCCCCTGGAGCTACTATTAACACGCTCACGGCTGTAGTTTCTCCGACTTACGGACTGAAATATTCAAGCTCGATTTCACTCCAGCTGCTACCCAAGTTATGAATTAACATATTTACTTACCATTTAACAATGGTTGACAATCAGACCTATATCTGCTACGCGCGAGCATTATACGTCACTGCACGAGAGACTGTCAACAACCCGTCAAACGGCGCGACACACTGTTAAAGTGTTGTTTTCCTGGGCTAGTATTCGATCACACCACGGACGACGAGGTGCGTATCATCCACATTCGATCCAACGAGCAAATCCACACCTACAGTGAAATTTGTCATTTTGTGGAGCTATGCCAATCGCAGTCAGATATTGACTCGAAACATGGAGAGGCAGGCCCGTGAAAACCCAGCTAAGTTCCGTCTCGCTAGAAGCTGCATTAATCACATTTTCACGATCTGATTGTCTAGAATAGCGGCACTGCTTCCGGCAACCAACAGTTGTGGTCCTTCTTGACTTCCAAGTTGCCTTTGATTTTGCGGGCCATCAGACACTATGGTAGTGTCTATGGGGTAAAGATGTTCCAATAAACTCTTGTTTCTCCTTAAAGCGCTGGAGGCCAACTCGAGGGTCTACTGGAAGCCCTCACCTAAGTTCACTACATCGAGAGGTATCAGACGAGGCTATCCTATTTCACGTTTCTCCTTCAACTTCGTCACTGATATGATTATGGAACACTTATTCCCAGCCTCTGATGCCTGTGGGGTTGAAGTCCGACCAGGGCATTCACTCACAAATACCGAGTACGCGGAGTACATAGGGCCTCTTGGGTCCGATGCCGTCGAACTTCAAAAATATTAAATAATCTAAACCTGTCTCACGGTTTGGCATCCGCTTCACACTTGAGACCTTCAAATTGCTGATGCAAGACTGGACGAGCTCGAACCCCAGCCTCATGCTTGTGGATGAGCCGATTAAGTCAATTAACAAATGCGTCCACCTGAGTAGCTTTATCAATCCCGGTGATCTAGCCATCCGGACTGGGAAGGCCAAAACAGCTTTTGTGAACATTCAACACCTGTGAAGCAGGTGTGACATCAACTTATTTGAGGGTCGAGTTTAGAATGCTGCGGTGCGCTCCATATTGTTATACGGATCAGAAACCTGATCACCGTGGGCTAAGGGCGTTAAAAAACTTTTAGTGCTTGACCATCGACGTCTTGGCAGCATTGTACGAGTCTGATGCGAATACCGGATCAGTAATGTTGAAGTGCGCCGAAAGCTTGTCGGAAGAATTGGTTCAACGTTAGATGAGCTCCTCACACACCATAGTTTGCGCTGGCTTGGTCACGCGCTGCGCATGTTAGTCGACCCACTTCCTCGAAGAGGAGCTTTCACACACCGACGCGAAAAGTGAAGAACCGGCGGGAGGTTGGGTAATGGACAGCGAAGTATGAAAGCTGTTGCCAGCAAAACTCAGCTGCGCCGACGTTGTCATCTTCTTTGATGAGGACTCCGAGATGGGACACATCGATGCTTGGAGACAATGTCAGACATAGCACAGCTGGGCGTTCAACGGTGCACATCCATCCAAGCTGTTGCCTTCAATGCACAGTTTCCCCTCTCGAGCTCCCCAGCGAAAGTTCACTGACACTTCTGTACTAGCGCTACTACTGTACAGCTGCCGATTCCAATGCGCGGCTATCTACTACAAATCATCGGTGAGCGAAACTGTGGTAGCGATAAGCACTGTACCCAAGTTCGCAGCTTTTATAGCTGAAAATGATGTTAATCACTTGGTTGATTGGAAGCAAAGCTGGTGTCACTACTTTATCCCATCATAAATGGCCACTCACCAGCAGCTCGTTACCAGCCCTATGGGAAGTTGTGCCGTTCAGAAAAAAGAAAACATGGAATGACTGACTGGCCATTATGGCTATGAATTTGACCCGCTTGAAGAAGCACTTTTCCGGGCCGAATTTCAGGCTTGCAGACTAACCGAAACGATAGCAAAGGTGCTGTGCACTCTTACGGAAGACCACCTGAAGAACCAATTAATGTCACATCAAACAGCATCTTGTGCAGACCGAGAAGTTAAGTAAGAAAATCCGCTCGCAAGGGCGAGCGATCATACAAAGTGGGAAGGGGGACATAACAAAGTTCAACAGGCAGTCAGATTGTTAAGAGCTATTTGGTACACCACGGACGCAGTTATCCGAAGTGGTGGCTGAAGTAGGAATCAGAACATATCCAAGGTAACCAAAATGAAGCCCGACTTCTCAAATGCTGATCCAAAGATCAGGCTGCGAGTACAGACAGTGAATATAATCGATCGTGTCTACAGTCACAGGATTCAGCTATCGATAGTCACGTTCCGTCACGGAAGCGAATGTGAATTCTACCGTCACCCATCTGTTCTGTGACAGTTTCTTTGACATTACCAGGAAAAGCACATTCGGTGGCAGGAGCTCTACCTAAATTATAAGCAGTGGGATCCCCTTTAACCGAAAACTCGCTTGCGATTCGCACATTAAGTGCTGAAATCGACTCCAACCAATCAATTTGAACCGTACAAACCCCTGGTTGTCTCGAATTTCAAAACTCAAACAAAACAAGCAAAATGTAATTGCGCACCTTAATGAAAAATATATTGTGGAACTGTGTGATAAGGGGAGTCCACGTGGTACAGTCAAAGTGTTCCTGAGGATGAGTCATCTCAGCGAAAAGCTGTCTGTCACCACGTGAAAGTAAGTTGAATTTTCTTCAGCAATACCAAGACCCAAGAACAGTCAAAAAGCGAAGAGTGCCAAGAATGATCACATCACGAGGCAGCCCGGAAGCAAATCCCGACTGTTCTCGACGATAGACGGATTCGAAAAGATCTGTTCTAGAATTTCCATACTGCGATTGCCCAAAAGCTGGTCGATGACTTATCCATTACATTCGAAAGACTGAATCTTACCAAACATAGATTCAACTCTAAATGAATCCACTGCACGCAGCAACGTCAGGAGATAGACTGATATATGTCAGTAGTCTCTGGTCCCCACAGAGCTAAGTGGGTCGGATTTTTTAATGAAACGCTGAAGGTGGGGTACTTCAATCAAGTTCTCTCTTCGGCCTTAACAGCCAGAAATTACCATCTGTTCAGGCACAATCACCAACCCACCGCTACGCACTACTACGCCCCGCAATAACGCACTGATGATGTTACCTCGATTGGTGATGAAACGTTTGCAATCAAATTGCCCAGCTCAGCGAACAAGCCAACCACCACCACCATCTGCTCACACTGAAGGGGCTTGATATTACGACCTTGCCCGTTTCTAACTCCCACCACTTCAGCGTCTATTTTCAGTTTGTTTTACCGTGAAAAACAGTTAAATACGCTATGCAAACATAGAGGAATCTGTAAGCGTTTGATGCCTGACTAAAGTATCAAATAGGTCAATATATACTCGTTGTTAATTCCCTTTCATTATTAAACACCGGTGTGTTGTCAGCGCCGGTTGATATTTGGGTATTATCAATGGTGGTAATGCAATGCGAATCGGACAGTTGTCCCCAACCGATGGGCCTGAATACCGTCAATGAAAATAAGATGAACGATAACAAGGGACTCAGGTGATGGTCTGTTTTTACTTACCCGATTCGCTAAACGAGTTGGGTGACTCCACTTAACAGTTAATTAGAGGCTCAATTATTGCCCAGTCAAAGTATTGCTAGAGTACCCAACTTAGAAACGAAAACCGCCACGATACTCAGTCGAGCAGAATTGGGTAGAAAACGTGAGGAAATTTAAGGGACGACTGGCAACAAATGTTCCAACTAATGAACAGTAAACCTCGACAAACTGACCAACGTGGGTTGAAAGGCTCGATAGCTGTCACATACATGCTAAAAGTATAGGCCAAGGTTTAGTGGAGGTGAACAAATCGTGACAACACGACAAGCCTCAGTCTATTCACGGTAGCCAATTAAGCACAGGGTCAGCATCTACCTACATTACACACACAATGATTGGCGATATTCCCGAAAGCCACCCGAGACTAAGACGAATCCAGTGGCTACAAAGCAAACGAACCTCTATTGAAAAAAATAGTTCATACGAGAGTATACCCATAACCATCATGACACAAACATGGAAGCCAGCCACATGCGTGAGTAGCCGTTTACAGCCAATTATGCGAACGAGGAAAAAGGACAAGTGAAGGATAAAAATAATGACACCTTTCTAAAGCATTGGTAGAAAAAAATACGAAGTGGCGGAACGAATCTGTTCTCTTCGGCTGAAAATTTCACGGTTTTAAACCAAGTTTAAACCAAGTTAAAAAGCGAGAAAGAAAGGAAAAGACAATCGCGAACACGACAATGACAAAACGCGGCTGGAAAGAACGGTGCAACCGAATCACAAAACCTTGATCTTTACTCTCTGGCAGATTAGTCATCGTCTCGTCGTCACATCACCCCGGGATGCTTTGGTTTAACCTTTTTTGAAAACGTCAATTCTTCCACACGGAGCTGATCGCCAATTCGTTCGAAGCGAAAACGGCACAGGTCTTTCCGGGTGATCATTCCGCGTACCTGAAAAATTAAGCGGTTTTCGAGTAACTCGCTAGAATCTATTTGAGTCCCCATGTTTTTTCGTGTCTACACACTTTGTATGCGAATAGCTCCTAGACTGTGATCTGCGTGACCCGAAGCAATGAACACCACTTGTGATAGATAACACTCATTTCGAGACGGTTCGTGAAGAGCCAAGTTTCATATTAACAAAAGAAAGTTGCAAGATCTGTTTTATAGATTGTAGAAGGTCTTTAAAAATCTGATGTCAAGCAAGGTAACGATCCCATTTGATTTGGACCGCGAATTCTTGGTGAAGGCTGCCAAAGACGATATAAATAACATGTGTCGTTTGCATGAACTATTAATGAATTACGTGAATGTCTTGGGGTAAAAAACAGAGACGGGACATCCGGCACGCAATTACAGCTCAACTAATAATCCTTTTGGTATCCGGTCACCGAAGAAAGGACGAGGGCTGAGATAGTGCCAGGTTGCCCAAGCCTAAACAGCAGCAGCCGGTATGCCGGGGTTAGGTTCGAACCACCAACCTTCTCGTCAGTAATTTCGTGCGTTAACCACTGAGCTATCTCGAGTTCACCTAACTCAACTGCTGGTTTTGTTGCTATTATACAGTGTGCGTGCGAATGACACTCACCAGGAGGAGAAAGTTTCCCAGTCTTACAAGCTTATTTAGATGTAGCCAAGTTAATCTGATTGCGACCCCCGAAGGTGGCCTGATTAAGATGGGACCGAGACAATAGCGCTATTTATGCGTGCATGGATAGCCGATGCCCGGGACTATCGAAAACTTTCCGACACCGTTATGGTAAAAACAACAGAGTTGTGATTTCGCTATCCTACCCGCACCAAAGTACAGCCGTTAGTTCAGCGGTTCGCAGGAACAAGTGACTTTGTGAAACGAACCTGAACTTCAGGGGTATTGTACAAGGAAGAGAGAAGAAAACACCGATCTCCTCACGATCTTAACAGCTGCATTTGAGCGACCACCTGAGCTGAAATCCCCGGTGGTTGAAAGGCCAACTGTTGCATGCTATTCGAAACCGAAAAGCCCTCTCTAGAAGGATAGAACTAGTGAACTATTTTGGCACAATCACAACATTAGCGGGACACCATGGAAGAGTTGGAAATTTTTGGCCGGGTTCATTTACTGGCTGTCGATCTGACGGTTGTAGATCTGCTTACCTAGTTTGACAGTCTATCTAAAAAAAGCCTTGTTGCTGACCAAACAGGCATCTCCAGTTAACGGAGCACGGACGATGTCACGTCGACTGGCGACGAGAAATTTGCCAACAAACCTGACACATCTCCACAAACAGATCAACAGTCACCTGACCAAAAACGTAGTTTTTGTGAATTTTTACTATTTACGGTAGAGTTCATGATCTTGCACTGTGTTAGACTAGAAGCGCAGCAGAGACATCCGCAAACCTGCCCCGAATCTTTGTTTGCTTGACGTTTACAAGTTTTCCCGCTCATTTCTTTTGGTCGTAGGCCGGCAGGGTATGCGCGAATCGCATACGACGGAAAGATAGTAGGGTTATTGACGTACTGACTGTACTTTCGGTAAGACCATGGCAGTATATAAGCCACATTTTGGATGTTCACAATGTCCGCAACTTGTGATAGTTCTGTTGTGACGGCTTCGGGTTTGCAAAGGAGCTGTCACATCTTACCCTATCCAGTGACGGTCACTGATATGTAAGGCAAAATTCACCATTCAAAACACACAACCACGCAGAGTAGTGAACACCAACGGAGCTAGAGCTGAATGCGCACAAATGCAGTATTTTGTTTGCACGTGTTCAAAGAAACACCAGACTGAAACAGAACACCAGCAAGCTTCGCCTTACCTGCGGCTCATACGCAGCAGCCACTGTATATGACAGAAAACTAACAAAAAACTCTATCCTCCCCTAATGGGTTGTCTACTCTTGTGAGTCTAGGGAAAACTGATATGGTGCGGGCTCAAAGAATCCGAAAATATATTCCTTAGGAAACAAACGCGATTTGAACATGACGTGCGGACTTCGAGGCAGATTAGCCACCTGACCACAAACAGTATTTTGTCAGTTGCACAATTCTATACACCTTATCAGTTCGGCGATTTCGTAACCTGCTACTATCGTTCGAATCAACTCTACATCAGTCTCTCGTAGACGTATGTGACAGCAGTACACCAGCAAAACATGCCGGCGCCTAACTGGCACCACTGAGTTGCCACGAAGAGGATAGTTCCGAGCGTGAAGTTTGGGGCGTCCACAACATTAGTTCACACGCTATGATGGCTATAGTTGACCGAAGTTAGCCGAATTAGAATGTCCCCATCAAGGATAGATGGAATTCCAAGAGAGTGCGGTTTGAACATACGAGATGGAGAACAACAACTCAAGGTTAGAAATCATGGACTAACTAGAGATAACTTCAACCAAAAAAGTTATTTTGGGAAAAATCAACGACACTGTGCAACACCAAAAGATCTATGCAGGTTTGGAAAGACATGCTTTCAGGCCAAAGGAGAGACTGTCAAATCTAAGACATCTTTCGCCACCAAAAGTGCAAATGCAGTGCAAATACAGTGCACTTTTATCATGAAACGCTTCAGCTGATCAAACGACTATCTGCGGAGCAGATTGAATCAGTCGAACATATTCTTAGTCAGATAAGAGTTCAGAACGGTGATATTAGTGGATCTGGGATTCCACAATTACCTACTCGAACCCTTATATCAAATCAGGTGAATACTTTTGATAAGGTGGGGACGGTCCCTAAAAAGTCACAAACGATGTTCTGCGACCACCGACATAAAACAGACCGTGCATCTCTAGAAGGAACAGTCACAACAAAAGAAGCACGTGTGACAGTACCATATACAACGAATTACCTGGTTTTCACTGTCAACAACGGGAAGGTGACGGAGTCCTAGCAGTCGGAACAGATGATACACACGATTCATCGTCATCGTCTGGAAGGAAAAGAAAGAGTACAGAAGGGAAACTACACAGTAATAGAAAATAACCAAAGGGCAATAGCTGTGTCGAACAGCGCAAGAGTGTATCTTGGCTCTCACAAGCATAGATTATTACCCATGTTAAGGTCACTCATAGTGCCCCTCTTCTCTACACGTTTTCCCGAAGGCTATTGTTTTACAAACGGTAGATTCTCTTTATTAGTCGCAGGAAGAACAAAAGGCCCACCTCACGAGGAAATATGTTCGACGGGTACCAAAATACCTTCAGAAGGGTGACGAGCATCCGGTAGCTTTCTACGACTTAGCCGAGTGACTAAAACCAAACATTGCGAAAAAGTTAGCTTTCGGATTTCGAGCGAATTTAACGAGAAAATTTACGCTAAAGAGATGGATGAGCTTTGTAAGTCCTATTAGGAATTCAGCTAAATTGGAAAGGGCGATACTCTTACGGATGCACCAGGACTTACACAAAGGAGAGGAGATGGCGAGCAAACGACGCCTGACTTACTTCAGGGACACTGTACGGTGCTTCACACATATACGGTCGCAGATTCACGTGGGCCTCCAAATCTTCTTCAGTTAAATCCTGAAGTACATCCTGGAATGGAAAGGACAGAATAATCAATGATAATAGTGGCAATAAAATAACAAGCGTACGGAAGCAACCCTCTTTCGGCCCACAGCTGCCATACCATAGGAAGGAAGAAAGATAGCTGAGATAACGCCAGGTTGCCCAAGTCGTGAGTGGAGCAGTCAAGATTCAGAAGTTTTGTTCGAACCACGGTCAGTAAGTTAGTCCTTTAACTGAGCTAGATCCCAAACTAGACATTTGAAGTCAACCAAGTCAGCAGAACAAAATGATGATAGTGCATTTACCGGTCACAAACGCAAGACAGTATATAGCAATGGACACATGGCATGACAACAATGAGCCTGAACGATTGAGGGACACCGCGTTTCAGATCCAGGAACTGAAATAAGTGATTCGCGAAAACTAATTGTGTTGCTATGATTCCATCGACATCGCTTCAGATAGGACCGGCATCTTCGAGCAGGTAACAAAGGTGTGTTCCAGTAACCAGAGATCTTCAGCTCGATGCGGCTGCTTGCGAAGTTGGCCTGTCACAAGGCAAAATTTGATGCAGCCTTTGTGGAGAATTCCAGAGGTTCTCCGAAAAAAGATGTTGGTCAGTTCTAACAATGAAATGCAAATGAATTGAAAAATGGCATGCGAGTGATCAGTTGGAATCCCGTATCAAACCTAATCCATCGAGTTGTGGATACTGAGCTCCATTTAGCAGCAGGGTATGTGCGGTTTAGCGCAGAGTCGAACTTGCGTTAGGTATCGCTCAAATTGTGAGAGGCATAGACAGTGTATCCAACACACCGCAACAATCATGCCACCGAGTGTCATCAATTTCAAACATTTCTAAACCAGTCAAGTTAGAACCTACTAAACCGTATGGCAAACGGACGGTCTCGGATTTAGTAGCTATAGGAAATACCACATCTCTATCGTATTTCGAACTCAATAACAAGAGACTTCGGTACAAGAGGTGGCGCGAATCGGTTAAAGCAATCCTACCTTTCAAAAGTAGTACAATTATTTCAGTCGCAGAACTAGTCCACACAACCCTAGTCCTCTCCTGAAAATACGTATTGTGGTATGATGTGTGATCTATATGATCGAACTGCTCTGACAACTTCATCTAAAAACACTTGCGAGAACAATGTAGTCAATGCAGACAACATTCACGGAATTTCGTTCACTCAAAAAATGAATGTTCAAACGGTAAAGATCAGTAAAGTTTGCTTCACGACTTCCTTAAAGTCGTAAAACTGCCAAAGATGGGGGTGTGTGCCTCCGCTAGACACCGCAATGTACAAGTTCCGGCACACACTCCAAGTGTTCGCAAGTCGGAAAAGGATAAAACCAGAATGGTGAGGATTTTAGCGATTGAAGTAAACGGGTAGCAGCCGGCCGCTATTACCTTACTGCACAAATAGGCCCTAACAAAAAGATTCTTCTCTGGATTTATCAGAGTTACATATTGGTAGTTGACACCCACGTTGCTTCTAATGATAGGGATGATACACGATGGACATGGGCTGTGTGCGCAAAATGAGGGAGTAGATGGCCCAGTTGTCATGACCAAGGGGAAAGACTCACTTGGAGTTTTGCATAAGATGGATATTCGGAATCATAGTCAGCATATTCCAATGACCTCATCGGTGAACCATCTTCTTTCAGAAATATCTGTGCAGTGAATTTGGACAGAAAATAAAAAAGTGGTCAAGTTACATACAAAAGGTACACTATGGTGATGGTAAACTCCACACACGAAATATAAAAATGATTCATGTTTTGCCCTTCATTATAAAAACTTATCCACTAATGAGAAGTTATGCCCGCACAAGGGGAATAGTTACTGCGCTAAGCGAGACAAGTTATGGTTCAACAGTCAATGAGATGAATGCACAAATCACTAATCAAAGCTTATGCATTTTCCGTTATCAGAAGCAAAGGAGGGGGTGTAAAACTGAGAGAATAAAAAGGATGAAACTGCAACCAATAGAGTAATAACCAACTTACGCGATGCTTTAGGATAATAGCCAGATGTTCGGAAGAGATAATTCCCACGAGGGTTCCATACGAGAAACGAGGCGGATTAACCGGTCCTTCGACGATGGGGAAGCCGTGGTGCAGATTTTCTCTGATCTGTTCAACAAGTGCTCGGACATGCATCACAGGTTCCAGATAGACCACAGGAGAGCACATCACATCGTAAGCACGTTTGGACGACGAAAGAGGATCGGGTTCCCAAGGAAGTAATGCCATACTGCTCAATCCAATATGTTCGTCGTAGATACCCTTAAAGTAATAAGAATTTGAGAGTGTTCGGGAAGTTCCCTGAAGGAATAAATCCCTGAACTAAATTCTTTAGTGCTAAAAACTAGAAGCACCGGACACAATTATCAGTGCGGTAAGACTTTAGGATGCTATCTGTTAGATTGAAAGAATCCACAACGACAGTTATTTCCGGGACAGTTGCTGAAACAAATTCCTGTGATGATGACGCACCGCGCCCAGGTAGATCACAGACCCGAGTAGAAACACAAGAGGGTATTAAACTGTTTCCGAAAAGCAATTATCCCCTCTTAGAAGCAGCTAATGGTACGAACCACCCCAAATTTTATCTGTACTTCCATACGGTGGCCCGATATATCTGAGGGTATGGAATGTGGCGTACACAAGATACATGATGCATATTGCCGTCAGTATTTCAATCAATCGAACTAATATATTTCCTGTCGTGTGGTGGCTTATCAGTTTTCAGCAGATGTATCAACTTTAGTTAACCCTCATGATTCTGACTTAGCACTTCCCCACCCGATACTGTACAGAATAGGCGTCTCCATATCTCTTCTGTTTTTACTACCGTAATGCGTCAATCGGTGCGTATAACGAGCCACATACGGGGCTCAAACTGTGTACCAAAGCCAGTCACGTGACAGAAAGGCAGCAAAAGATGTTCGAATTAACTAGAGACGCACACAAGCGAGTAGGATGCCGTTTCAGAGAAGCTTAGTAACCGGTTAAATTTCTCGTCGGAGTTTCGCTTTTTCAGAAAAGTGAGTGAGTAACCGAGCCTGGAATAGATCACTTTGACTAGATATCCTTTCTTATTTCCCATATACACTGTTGCACCGACAGGGTAGATCACTGTAGCGTACGACAGACACCGCTTTCGATGTCCTTAAAAACATATTATTTTTACACCTGGCCAGAATCGACCAAAAACCTCAGAAACCAGGTAGGGACATGAGGAAAATATGTATTCGAAATGGCGAAATAACTGCAAACATTTGTACCCTAAATACCAAAGTATCTTTACCGCTTTATCGATTGCCTTATCGCATCATCCTCACTATTACTGATGCTAATGCGAGACATGTTCCAACAAGGACATTGTGCACACAGTCTATGCTGAAACATCAGGATATTAAGTTCGGAAGAGCTTGCTTCTATCATCATACAGTTCAGTGGCGTCAGTCGGCACCGACCAGTAAATGCAATGCTATCGTGATTTTCCTTCTAGAAGTGAAAGAGCAATTCCAAGGTCTCGAAACTGTGTTCTGTAAGATTCTGGACAACCTGTTTTCTCAATGGGCATTGTATTTTGAAGTCATGCGGCCCTGCTAGTGAGATGAACGCAATAAACATCGATTTCGCTCCAAACGGACCACAAATAAACTGTTTGGTCGATGAACTACAATGTTCTACACTAATGACATACACCTCCACAGAGAAACACTCTTATTGTACGAAAAAACGACGTTTTCCCAGGTGGTTCAATGTTTATGGAGCGTTTCATGCATGGGATTGAGTAGTTCGAACAGGCTGAGAGAGGCGTTCCGAAATAGGTGAAGAGAACGGAGGGTGTCAACATTTCGATAACCGGGATCAATTTGCTTTTGCAAAAGACCGCGCTAGTGGACAAAATGGAGCGTCCTCGAAAGTTCGATTGAGTTGGTGGTTGTTTAACGGCTAACGTACGTATTGTGTTTAGGTGAAAGGCCCAACTGAAAAGTTAGACTTTAAAAAAATTTCTTATACGGTACAACGAACCAATGGGTCATGAATGGGGGATGCAATTTCCAAGTTCTATCAGAACCTATACCACGCGAACGTTATGTAAAATCCTCCCGGTGAATACACTACTCTTGAGTACACGGAACAGTAGAGTTTACGACAGTAAGCTCATAATCAAGGAACCACATACCGTGTAATCCTGATTCTTATCGAATTATTTATTTAACCGCTGCGTTATCACAATACGCCAAATGCAAACGGAAAGGTGAATATAGCAACAACAGCTGAATGACTCAAGGAGATTTTACGTTAGAGTCGTACAACCAATATAACAGTCACACGTTCACAACCGTGGTAACGAGAACTAGGACCATGCATTTGCCGCGGGGGCTCGGTCAATAACGCCTCACTGATTGCTGGGTGAATCAAGCATTCACCTAGTCCCGAACATTAAATCACTTAGTCAGCCTTGGGACTTCCCACTGATTATACACTCATTGAAAGCTCGGCTACAAGCTTGACTTTCTACGTTTCGGCTCCGTGTGGGGGTTCCAAGAAGGATGACGAACTCACGTAAAAACCAGATGGTCCACATTCATCAGAATGCTGTCTACGGCCCCTAAATGACTGAAGAAAGAGGTCAAGAAATCATACTGTCAACACTAATTTTGAAGTCATGTTTACCTCGCTCAGATAATCCCCAGTATATTTGGCAACGACTAAGGTCATGAGGAGGGGTAGACCAACAATCACGTTCCCAGTGGCTTCCATTAGGATGACCGTCAAACTCAGGGTCATCCGCACGACACCGCCAAGTTGAGCAGCTGCACCGATCAAAGCAAACTTCCCTGGACGTGGGAAGGTTTCGGGATATGTGGAATACATCCAGTTTCCTGTAAAACAGGTAAAACAATCGAAAGTGTGACCAAGAGGTGGAATAGTACAAAGTAAACGGGAAAGTTACGCTGCAATCACTGAAGAGATGTCAACACAAAACGCACCAATGACGCGGCCCCAACTTGCTCCGATTAACAGAGCCGGGATGAACAGACCGGATGAAACGGAGAGACCATAGGTGAAACAAGCAATTATGTAGTAGACCGGGAAGAATACCAACAGAGTAGTGACGTTGAAGGTGCCGGGAGGTTCGTGAAACAGGATGCGCAAAGATCGCTCCGGTGTATTGAACAATAGGGCGGACATTGTGTTGAATTCATTATCGGCACACATGAGCTGAAGGTTAAAAAAGAGGGCCTGAGGTAAAACCAATACCATACGGTACAGACGTAGAATTGTGGTTGATCAGGCTAGAAAACATAGTACATCTGTACCAGCAAGGCAAAGTCCACCCAGTGAAGTGCAGGTCCTGACAAGGCCACCAGCCTCACCGTACCTGTCTGATATTGTCATCCTAAAGTAATGTCATTAACCATACGGTTAATAGAATACCACCAGATTATCCGCCGCTATTTTGACAGCGCGCTGAAGGGCTTCTACTGATGCTGTATTGTGGCTTTGTCCTGAAAGAAAGGGATTGATGGATCGCGCCCCTACCCCCATGAGAAACAGATAACCGGTACAAGTGCTCACTCTAGCGTTATCCTGTTCAAATTGGCTGATCACTTGCGACAGTCTTCTGCAGGCTTAATCCTCTTGTATCCAGTAAGCCTCCAAAACGCTAATAGACATTGCCCCCCACCCTTAAACCTTCACTCTAAACCAGTATGTTATAGCAGTAGTTGAGATTCAACGTTTGCAATATTACCTCTAGGAGAAGTTCGAAGCAGTCACATGTTTTTCTTTTTCATTCACGCATAAAAATTGTAAGCGATGGTCCAAACAGTTCTTTGACGTAGAGTATCTGTTCTCAGGTGTGGCAATGATTGAGAGCTACGCTGTGAAGGCGATCGCTTTGGTATAAGACCGCGATTAGCTGTGTGACACATCCATATCCGTCAGGACCGCCAACCATTGGTCTGTCTCCTCCTACGGTCCCCGTCCGAGGAGACACCAGTTACCAACGCGACTAAGTTGACTAGTAAGGGCTTCGTTGCCAAGTCAACTGATCACCCCTAGATCGCGTCCATCCAATAAAAGGCTGAGCAAACTGGGCGTTACTAGGTACACGGCCCACTGGTATATGAAGTATACGGCCTGACCGCCGTAACCTCTGGAGTGTGATCAGTTGATCCATCGAGAAAGAGTGATGATGATAATGATGATGACGATGACCTTTCCCGAAAATCATCTGGTGTGCATTAGCAGTACTCTGATGTTCCCACCAGAACCGCGCGACGCTTCGGAGCTAATGACGGTCAAACGCAGAGTCTCCGAAGATCCTCCGCACGCAGAGGCCATAAAATAGAACAGATCGGACCACAGCATTGTACACCCAATCCTTGCCAGTCACGTCCGCGCCACAAACGTCGGAGATTGGCAGGCGCTGTCCTGGTCTTTGGTGTTAAGAAGTGATTTCGTCCCTCTCAAATCCGTCGGGACATGCACAGTTGTCCAGAGAGACGGATCTATCCACGACACATCTATCAGTTCACTTGCAACTGACGTTTAGGTTCGATCCCGACCAATGCTGCAGATAGACTTCAAAACTGACGAGTGTGAAGCCTATACCGAACAGTGTAGCAGAGGTACTTAGGTTAATTAAGATAGTTTGCATTTTTAAAAGGCCCAATCCAAGTAGAGCAATTTTTTCGGCGTACTCAGTGTCCGTGAGCGGTTTGTTAGCGGCAGATAAAGAAGACCAACATAGTGCATGACTACGAAGTTAAAGAGAAAAAGTGGCAGAAGACATCCTTGTCTGACATCACAAGATGTGGAGAACTCGGGAGAGAATTTAACGTAAACATATACAGTACCACACATACTCTGGAGTAAAACCGTCAGGATGGCCACGAGAGACTTGCCACATTCTTTAAAGATGGCAGGTTGCAGACCGTCTGGATTAGGTGCTTTATTGCGCTGAAGCAATGAAAGTGCACACTGAAATTCCGTCACTGGTGCCATACTGATGTCTATGTTTCACTTGGGTTCTTATACAGGCCAAACGGCCAGCACAAAAGGTCGTCTTAGGATGGACAATCAAGGAAGAGAGTCATAGTTTGGAAGCTGAGGTACATACCAGCAGCCACAGAACCCGCTGCAAGTTTCAGAACAACCTGAATATCGCAGTCGATTAACTCTATACAGCGAGTACCAAATTGCATAGTACTGTTACAGTTCAAGGAATGCATCAACCATCTATCGACACAGTACCGGGAATTCGCGCAGGAACCAATGTTGGCCGATGTTTTTAAAGTCTGAACACCAAGGGCTGTGATAAATACGGCAGTAGGAGGTCCGATTAATAGAGTGAAGCGGTAGACATGAGCGCGGGCATGCAGTCGGTACCTGAGTGACATGTCTATCTCAATGATCTACGCAAGAGTAACCGTGAAATGGTGTGGGAGGGTAGTCAAAGCAGAATGGGAAGAAAGGCGGTAAGTGCCAGGGCCACATATTTTCGCTTAAATGCCCCTCCATATGCAGTGAATAAAATCAGTAGGCTGACGATACCACGAGATGACCAGTGTTATGTGAAGGTGCTTTTGTATGCCCAGATCAAAGTTGCACGCCAGCTCGGACGCTGAAAGTTTGGAAGCTTCAAAACGACGCACTGATGATGTCATCTCCATTCCTAGTGAAGAGTTAGCAACTAGATTGGTCAGCTCAGCAAACAAACTAAAGAATATTTTTTTCTTAGTAAGAGACGGCTCTCCACTGCAAGGTTCAAGTAATGACTAACGTCATCAGTTTTCTTGATGGATAAAAGATATGAGCTACAGGTTTCCAATGGCGTTTATCGTGTTCCCATACGGAGCATGTTAGGACGCGCTAACAGCAAACTTCTATACAGTTAAATCATTGGTATGCTGTGTGCAGGGCGAGTGAGTACTTGGTCACACCTGTTATACACAAGCAAAAACCCAGAGTCACAGTAAAAACGTACACGCTAGATAAGTCTCGGAGGCAAACACACTCACCTTCAAGGGATGTGGATTAGTAGTAAATGCCACGGGGCCACAATCTTGAACAAGCCAAATTAGTGCAAATCCGATAGACGTAGTCAGGAAACTGACGAGCACCACTTCAATCACTTTGCCATACTTCGATGTCACGTATCTGCAAAAACAGAATGGAATCACTTATGCGGCAAACGACCCATTGAACTTAATGAGCAGCGATAGTAGCGAAACCGTAGTGGTTGTACTTCGGGTTCATCTGTTGAAAGTAGATTTGGCTGGCCAGTACATAGTCAAGCTATCTGAATACTTGTGAACAGTAACACCTTAACTAGCCGAATATGCTAAAGACCCGATACACCCTGCACTGTACTGGTTCACAACCCGGATTAACAACGGATTGGAGACGACTGAAGCAGGAAATATATGCTTCTGGAAACAAAAGTGAGCAAGTGGCATTTTGGCATAACAAGCTACATCCCACCCATGAAACAGCAAACGAAGGTAGTATAATGCCATATGCGTCCGTGAGAAACCATGTGTTTAATACCCACGACAGCGTCCAACTCCCAGGAGGGATCCTTCTCGGTCGGGTGCGTCAGCATGCACTGCAGAGGGTTTTACTGAGTCCCCAGAGAATTCAGCGCTAGACTTTCTTACTTCTCTTTCGTTACGCACACGCACGGTATGCTGACATGAATGATGTATTCTAAGTAACAAATAAGCGGCGATTAAATCGTTAATACACATTCTTAGTTACATTATGCGCCGTGTAAAATAGTCGACGTAAGTTCCAAGTAGGGTTTCTTCTGAGAAGTCTATCAAAATTCACATCGTTCTTAATATAGCGAGTTTCTCGCCTACCAAGCTGATCGACAGATAACGACATGATGAGACTCGTGCAGAAACAACAGAACAACAAGTGTAAATCAACATCGCAGTGCAAAGTTTATTTTAAGGTTGGTTAGTCGTCACACTAGTTTGGACCCAAATAAACGTGAAAAAAGATTACACAGCTATCCCAGTCTGAAGAGGACTGAAGAGAACAAACGATAGTCATGATGGGCGGATACAAGCAACACAAGCGTCAAGTGTTTCGACCAGGACTACGGACAGGATGTGATTTGCTTTATGCGGTATGGTTGGTAACGTGTTCCGATGCAACAAAAACGTGACATCTTTACTGAAAAGTGTGAAATTCGAGGTAAAAAGTGGTATGAAGTGCGAACACTCATACTGTCGACAGCCAAAAAAACCAATAGAGTCGTGACCATTCAAATGACGGTGAACGTATGTCTCAACAGTTTTCAGAGAACGTTTTTGTTGACTGGAATCTCAGAATACGAGGTTGTAAAAGGTCTTCTGTAGTTTAAATGAAGATATTTCAATTTTTTACAAATTCCCATTTTGTCTCACTCTAGGATATCAGGTTTAAGATAGGGATACTCACCCTAGAGTCGATCCAATGTGGATCGACATCTAATAACCTTTCACTGACTGATGAATTGAAAACACTTTCTCACTGTCAGAAAATGAAGTCTGTCGCCTTATTCTATCACCAGTACCACTGTAACTTCTTCTCCATCCTTACATGATCCCAGGTCTCACAACCTTTCCTTGTTCGTCCAGTCATCCATTCATTATTCCTCCTTAGGAATGCTCCGTCCCTCCGAGTTTTGCCCCAGGTTTTGTCTAGCTCATATCATTCTAAACTCTTAGTTGACTAATAGGACGTTCAGTTACACCCACCTCGAGGTTTGTATCTTCTCACACCTATCCATCGTTTTCCTTTTGCGCCTTTGCAGGTCTGAAATTATGGTTTCTACGTCCCTCTACCATCTATCGCTATATAGCGATTTGGGATTGCTGGACAGTTGCATGGCACACTGATAACGGTTAATGGTCCCAGGAAGTCACGATTTGGTATGCGAATCACAAGGGGGCACGTTAAGCTAAACAAACGCAACACATAAACTATTCCAAACTATTCCAAAGCAAAACTCGAAGTCAGCACAGCCGAGTCACGACAGTGATTGAGTCACTCATCAGTCATACACAAGTCATATTATTACTTACTTCTGCCTGTACTGCGTGAGTAACGCATTTGCCTTCACGAAAAGTGCACCGGATACACCACCGAATGCACCCATCACAAGAAACAAAAGAAGCTCCGAGACGGAAAATGTGTCCAGAAACTATAAGGAAAATAAATTATCTAATTTGCAAGCTACTGAAAGTAGTGAGAAGTCAGTGTAAAAACAAAATCCATCTGACCGAGGAGACTGTTATGTGGTCAAATGACCCAAATAGTTAACAAGTTCGCAGCGGGAAGAAGAAATAGACTCACCATAAATATATTTATGAAACAAAGGCATCTATTCTGTCGCCCATTATAGGCAATGGCGCTTGACTGTTCACAAATTGCAATGACGGGACTAATATTGGAGGTTGGATCGCCCTCACCAGCACCATAGATCGATGGTGGCATCGTGTCCTCGAGGAAAGGTCCCGAAGTTACATCTTCGTCTCATTAGTAGATTCGGGCTAATCTAACCGGGAGCTCGATTGCTTAATGTCTCTTCGATATTGCCCGTATTTCGACCATCCACTTACAAAACTTCCATAAGGTCTCATGAAAACTGGGTGGTTACATGTGCTTGTCGATGGTGACAGAAAGGCTACTCATGCGGTCACGGGCAGGAATCTAAGTATTATTGACTCGACTTCAAATCACAAAGTAATCAGGCTGAAAAGGAGGGATTTGGAACCAAATTAAGGCCATCTTTCCGTTCCTTAAAAACAGACTAATGAACAGTAAGGAATGTCGCCAGAGCTCATAATCAGTTTCCGACAGCCACAAAGCATAGTATTTGAGTGGTTCTTTACGCACACACGGATTCATGCGTAAACTGAATCAACCGCAAAAAAGCACGACTTCCAAATTTAAATCCAGTCCTGAATCGAGCTGACCATCACATAAACAATAATATCCCGCGTCGGAAGCTAGGAGAATTTTCATAATTCCAATCCATCGAATCCCAGAAGAGGTCGTATTCATTAAGAAGTAATATCACGCGGAAATATAATAGCCTGGCAGTTGATTCCTGTTCATTTCTGGCAAGACAGAATGTTCGGGCTCAAAATTAGGATTCATTGGTTATCTCTGGTGAATGTTACTGAAACCAATCAATGAGCCACTTCATACACAACAAGGGACTAGATTACTAGTTTACACCACCCCAAGCTATGGGGCGCGTCCGATCTACAAGAGTTTAGCACACTTTGTGAAGATATGCGAAAGTAGCAGTTTGTTAGATAGCTCGATTTAAGCGCGTTAATTTAGGTGACCGGAATCAAGCATGCAATTGAGCTCACTTTTAGGAAACAGATATAATGCGCACTACGCAGTTCACTGAGACCGCAAAGCATTAATGTAAAGAGTACGCGACGAATCCAAGCATCTGGAGGGTCCCAAACAGTATAAAACTTATCCTGGATTGTTGCGCAAACTAAGCTGCATGATAACTTCGAGCACCTTTGACAACTATTTATCGCAGACCAAAGTATTCGGACGGTATTCATACTTTGAACGGGTGTGCCCTTTTAGCATCGAACTAAGGAGTATGACTGGCTTGCTCACAGCGCATAGTTCTTCAAGTGGGAACACATGTAGTCAATAACTAGTCCGTTTAACCAAAGTTGAACGTAAAAGCGGCTATCGGAAAGCCTGTATCACAACAAGCTCGTGTCAGTAGGACCCAAATCCTAAACCAACCCGTTGGATAGTTGGCGCGATCATTCACTCACTCTATGGTACTGACAACTCAGAGTCCTGTTCTACGATGTGATTTCATTCTCATAATGAATACATAGGCGCCAAGGCAATAGCGATCAACGCATCCCCTGATCGTACACCAGAAGTGAGACACAAGTCAGCCATCTCGGCCACCAGTACTCAGCATCTGACATGCCCATGCAACAGAGATAGGAGTGAATCATGTGCGCATCATTATTGTTCTGGGCAATCCCATCAACTAGGAGCCAGGCTGAGTACAGTTATGTGGCTGGTTCAACGGTCCATTTAGATAAGTTGCTTATATAATTTGCCCACACATCATCATCATCATCATCATCAAAGACAACATTGACAATTCACTGCAATAGAACCATGAAATACACCTAATTATACTTAAAGCCGTAGAGTAGAAAGAAGAGAGAAAGAGTAGGCGAGGGAGGGGACCTAGAGCCCTCCCACCCCTCATCCCACACATCCATCATCATCATCAAAGACAACATTGACAATTCACTGCAATAGAACCATGAAATACACCTAATTATACTTAAAGCCGTAGAGTAGAAAGAAGAGAGAAAGAGTAGGCGAGGGAGGGGACCTAGAGCCCTCCCACCCCTCATAGAGATGGCCCTCGGTTACCCAAATGTTGGATTACACGCAGAACAAATATTCTTTATCGCTATATTTTACATCAAATCATCTCCCATATCAACAATTATTTTTTTATGAAACAAACATAACTATCGCAAGTTAGGACGTCATTCACTTTATGTCCATAAAGTAAAACAAAGCGACTATTCACAAGTCAAGGGCATGACGATTGAGCGCCTAGTTGTGCAGAAAACTGTTCCACTCAACAATGGTATAAAGTCCGTCACGCAACTGAATTTCGAGAAAAAATGACAAGTCATGGTAATGCTGTTGCTGTTACACATGTATGCCTACAAGACTAGACCAGAAACAAATCGCATGGACTTTAAACAACTGTACTGTCAGTTTCGCTACAAACTGCCGGGGTGATCTGAGGGTAGCACGAGTCCAGGTGCGCTGCTGTTGCAAATGAAACGCGCACTCGGGACGGTCCATATCGTCTTTTATTGGTTAAATTCAAAATCATTACTGATCAGGTCAAGCTGCCGGCACTGGGCTCCGGAACTTGGGGAAGCCACGAACGGTGTGCCATTGGTGCACTTTGATCACTTGTTGAAAACGTGAAAAAGTGACATCGAACCTACCAAACCCGTGCTACGTGAAAGCTGTTGCAATGTCGACACTATCGCTGTTCTGCACAAAAGATGCCTGTCGTAAAGTCAGCTAGTAGAAGAAGGCAGCTGACAACACTGTCCATAAGCAAACACGACCCCAAGCTAAAGCCTAACTGAACAGAAGCTCGAGGAGAACGCTCCTGAATAAAATCTGTATTTTGAAAGCTATAGCTAAATCGGCATAACTCAGAGGTTTCCACATGTGAGTTGATTCTCCGAAGAATCAAATTGTACATCTGAACAGTCAAAATTTGATTGCTGAGTTATAGGTTTCCATATTCTGATTCAAGGATATGATTTTTTTAACTGAAAGCCGAAATTTCTACTACCGCAATATTACACAAGACCGGGAAAACGACTAATTGGTCACTACCCTAGAAAATCCGCGGTTGGTGAAACACGAGATTTTCGGTCATCCCAGTCAGCTTATTCGTGAGCACTAATTCGAGGTCCGACCGCAGTTATGCCACTTAATGCCGTTACAACCAGCACACGCATAAAGCACAACCTGAAGGTAACAGCCAATGGAGGCCTTTGGCGATTCAAAGTAAGAAATTGATTGATCAGACCACCGCAACCCGATCCCGCGATGTTGAGACTGAAATTGATACCTTTTGAGAGACGATTCCCACAAACCACCGAGGAGCAGTCTCCCTTCACAACAAGGAACAGGACTCAAAATTTCATTCCATGGGTTTCCCTAGACTCAAAGTGAGAACACAAGTACCATCACTATACACTAGTTTGTTTCTGACATCGTTGAGGTTTACAAACACGATTTTAGCGACATGTACTCTATTATAGTGATCCCTCAAACCTACAGCCCCCTAAAGAGAAACTGCCATCTTAAAAAGGGTATATTATGGCTCTCCATCACTCACAACTAGATAGGCAGATCAGAATCCAGTTTTTCAGTCTACTGATGACGTACATACCGACAAAAAGTCAAGCCTAACATCAAAAACGGAGCAGGGTCCGAAGATCAGTTATCCAAACGCACTTATTCCATTCATAACGGAACTTCCGGATCATTGTGTAGACCAGTGCTTCCCATGCTATTGGGCTCACCGTTAAGTGAACGGTGTACGATACTGTCATCAATCACCGTACGTATAATACATATTATATGCATAATAATAATAATACACAATAATGCAATACATAAAGGTGTATCATACGTAAACAACGACTGGTACTGTTAAAAACATCTTGAAATCTTTAATTTTGGCTCAACCGAAATGTTGGCCGATATTCGATCAGTAGCTCAAGGAACAAAGTTGGAGCTTGCGAAGCGTATCAACCAATCAACCAACGTATCAGCTGTAAACAGCGTAACATAGATTCGCCCCAGCTGCTGCCGTTTCAGTCACCGAACAGTGAGAGCTTGGGACATACAACCAAGCCTTGGAGGCCATAGCTTTGACGCACGATCATCACTGATTGCGCCATTGGGCCATTTCTGCCAGTGTCATTAACCATTGGTGAGCTGAGTCCCGAGGTCCCCATCCAGACAGGCGACAGTTGCCGAACCGATTAAGTTCACTGGTCAGTGTTTTCGTACTTCGCTGCCAGGTCATACACTGTCCACCTCTCTGTCGCTTACATACAGGACAGGCCTGGCCGAGAAAAAGCTCGGCTATGTAGACGGTACTCTGACATGCGGAGTATATGTCCTAACCAGCGTAACCTATGAAACGTGAAGGAGTGTTCCTTTTTTCTGGGACCATCTGGCGTACCTCAACAGTACTAATCCAATATTTCCACCAGACCCGACCAATGCTTCGGAGACACCGATGGCCAAATGCTGACATCTTCCGTACGTCTTCGGTGCGTAGAGGCCACGTCCCTGATTCATGAAGCCGTATGGACCGCACTGCCGGGGTGTAAACTCTATCAGCAACAGACAAACTGACGTCACATGGGCCCGATAGATGTCCCAGGTTGGCAAAAGATGTCATGGTCTTCCCCATCCGAAAAGTAATCTCATCTCCGGCCAGTCCACCGGAATTTATACAAATACCCAAGTTAATCGATTTATCTACCATGTCGACTGGCTGGTCTGAAAGCATGAGGTTTTGGATTGTTCCAACTCAACCTTGTAACAGTACTTTGCACCTTGCAGACGTGAAGCACATGCCAAACCGTGCGGCAGAGTTAGTTAGGCTATTTAAAATGGTTTGTATCATTGAATGATCTGAACCAATGAGGACAATATCGTCCGCGTATTCAATGTCCCCGGAGCATTCCAACTCCTGAGGTTTCAGAAGCATGCAGAGAAAGTTCCGGTAGTACATCAATAACAAAGAGGAAAGTTGAGAGAGGACGTGGTGAACTCAGGTGAAAGCATCCCGTATACTCGTACGCGCCCACAGGAGTTCGCATACAGTGCCATCATAAGGGATATAAGGTTGATCGCCACCCATCCAGTTTCTGGTCATCGACAAAATCAAAAACAGCTTTCATACCAAGAAAAATGACTAACGTGGGACGTCTGAAGGTGTAGCGCTGTTCAAGAATTTGTCTCAAGGGAAAGATATGGTCGATGTATCTTCGGTCAGGGCGAAACCTAAGCTTAATTCCCACAAATCTGTCTCTCCCGATAATCGATCGTTCTGTGCAAAATAATGAAAGCACCTTATATGCAACAGATACCACACTGATGCCACGATAATTTTCACATGATGTTCTTGCACCCTTTTTGAAAACTGAGATGATGGTCGAGGAGCTCCATTCGGATGATATTCTGTTTTCGTTTCAAATCTTCTGTAGTGTGATTTCCAGATTGTTCATCAGGATCTCGCCACCTTTGACGAACGCGAAGTGCAGACTGTCCGAGTTAGGTACCTTATCGCAATTCAGGATTGATATACCATGCTGGATTTCGGTTGATGATGGCGGATTGGTGTCGATGTTTTATTCAGGTCCGCTGCGTTCTTCCAGCAGTTGTGCTGAAAGATATCAGCTGGACTGTTTTTGTAAGTGTTCAACCCATCGCGCAAAACGATGATTAAGGGCGTGGATTACCGTTCCGTCGTTTTCGCACATCGTTTTGCTGACACTTGTCTTCTGTTGACCGGTTGACCAAATCCGCTGAAATAAGGCGCAGCTGTTGCCTGCAGCAAAATCCCTCTCCATTTCCTGGGCCTTCGAAATCCCCAGCGTTCTCTGTCATTCTTCAAGCTCCTGATTATCCGGTGTTTAAGGGATCTGTGTGCGCCATCACTGTCGATTGTTGCTGGTATGGCCTTTCTAGCAGAAATAAGATCTGCTAATATCATTGATATCCTGTGTTCATTTATTCGTCAGATTACCTGGACAAAGGGTACCGAAAGCTGAGAGCATTGTTTCTTTAACTCGCCTCCGTTCGACCTCCGAGCAATCTTCGTCATCCGTGTGACTGCATTTCCAGCAGCTTTCTAACTACATCAACTCAACACGTTTGGGCTAATGAAGCTGGTCGAAGTTGATAAATGGAACTGCTCTGTCTTGGCGTACTTAATGCCGATGGAAAGCAAAGCGATAACGGGGCTTGCACAATGGCATAATCAGAGTCAAGTTGCGTACCCCAGAAGAACCGACAATCTTTACTGATGCTCTCTATCGGTAATTGATAGCTACATGGTTAATGTGAAGGGTATGGGGTGTGAGAAGTTATGCGACACAATATTGGCTCTCGTCCGCTGAATGGAGAGATTAATGAAGGTTTCGCAATACCCGCCAAAATAACAGAATTCTATTCACTTGGCGACGCCTTCAGTGCTGATGACGCAGCCTTGTTCTACAGGTTATCTGGTCATGGCAAGCGATAGGTGTAACCGTTGAAAGTTTTTGGAAGCACACATAAAGGTATTGCTAGGCTGCAGTGCAACAGGTGAGAAACTGTTGCATGTGATGACCGGCAGAAGCCAATAGCCCAGATGGGTGAAAGGAACGCGTTTGAAACTTATAGCATCGGCCTTTGAATTTAACGGGGAAGTTTGACGACAAGTTTCATTTTCGAACAATAGACGCAGTCGCATGAATCGACGCCGACTGGCGGGAAATTCAAACCATCCACGCACGTTGCATGCGGAATGAAAAACAGTACCGTGGATGTACGCCTAGCTGTGTAATCGACGGACAAACAGCTTTCAGTCTCCCTGAAAACGATAGCATGGGACAAGTTAATACCTTGAGTAACTGATTCTTGCTTGTCGAGTCACCATTTGTGAAGATGTTTGTTGTGATGAGGAATTGTCATATGGTCAAGATACAGACCTTTAAAGCGACCATCATGGCCCCGAAATTGTGGTCTCTGGCAATGATTCGCCTACCTTGATGTGGTTCACGGGGCCGTGGGGACAGTTCAAAATAACTGTTCTCAAAAAAACGCTGATCCCAGCCTTGACAAACACTCCGTATTGGCTGGCAGAACTCAAGAGAGTGGGAAATATATTGAACAAGCAAAAATAAAGGATCTCTCCTAAATGTAAACCTAGCTGTATAAACTTATCTATGTTCCGAAGTTCTGGTTTCGACATATACATGGACAAGTTCTACCTCCGTCATTTTAACAATGTCTGTGAACTTTGCACGGAAGCCCTTAGAAGAGCGATGAAGGACATATAAAATATTAATGCACCAGCTTCGATATTTCATTGCAATATTATCCAAATCTGGGGCAGGAACGTTATTATAGTCCATTAAAGATGCTGCCCCCAAAAGAGACCAACTCGTCAATGTAAGACCAGCTAAAGTGTCAACTTGAGTGGTCTTTGTTCCAGCTTCGATCATTGCAATATTATCCAAATCTGGGGCAGGAACGTTATTATAGTCCATTAAAGATGCTGCCCCCAAAAGAGACCAACTCGCTCGTGTAAGACCAGCTAAAGTGTCAACTTGAGTGGTCTTTGTTCGAGAGGGGCGAAAACAGCATATATATATATATATATATATATATATATATATATAT